TTTGAGCCTCCTGATGACTTCAAATAAAAAAGTTGTCAATTACAACATTACAATATTTGTCTCCAACCAAGGTTGCATGAAAACATTACAAACTGTCAGCTAATGAAAATATTTGGGCATTTCTAATGCGTATTTTGGCATGTAAAAGAGCTGAAATGAAAATCTAGTCAGCTGCAAATGTAGATGTCGTGAATCTACAACTTTGATATAAAACTTTTCTTCATATAACTTTATATGAAAATTGTATACATTGTTTTCAAAATAGCAAATACACTTATCAGTTATCAATACCATTTCGGTACTCAATTGATAGGACCATCCGGATAGTACGTGGATTTCTCACACATTTGCTTGCATGTCACTCTGTTAGTGCCATAACATAAAACTGACTTGCGAGTAAAGACATATCAAACACACTTGCGGACGTACCATTGTATTTTTTTTCCAATAATAACATCATGGAGAACTATCAAGTATCAAATGTGTCAAACATTAATTTGATTATGTAAACATTACATACCTTATTGCGCATTGGTAAAATAAATAGTAGGGTAGCTGGCGCAATATTGCGCGGCTAGCACCAATACAAATTTATATTATGATGCAAAATTATCTTATTTTTTTCTACACATAAATATCTTTAACAATTGTTAAATAGTTGACTCTTATCCCGGGATGTTAAAAGATCAAACCTTATCATCATATCATTGTGTTTCCCATGTTATGATTTTTAAAAGTTGCACTAGCCACCACCACCTACTCCTTTGCCACCCCTCCACTTGCTCGCTCGGCAAGCCATCCCTTCTCGTGACCAAACAAAAATCAAACCTTGTCTCGACAGGATCCATCTAGTTTTCAGAAATCATGTCAAACCTTGCCGCCCTATTCCTTTGCCACCCCTTCTCTCGCCCTCCCACCGCCCTCCTTTTTGTTGCCATTAGGATTTCAAAAATCAATCTTTATCATTGTTGGATTCTGTTTTTATAATTTTTAAATGTCTCGCTAGATGCAATTGTAGGGTTATTGGTAATCCATAAACCTACAACAGCATCGGATAATCTATAATTGTTTAGCCATACCAGACGACGCGCCGAAGAAGATGATTGCATATTTGCATCTATATATCTATAATCACTAATCTTGATCGACTAAGGTATCACACTACTAAGAAATTAACATTTGTTGGCGGCTAGATCGCATTTTCTCCGGTGGCTGGTGGCACGCCAGCAACTGATGGCGAGAGAAAATGTACTAATTTCATTGGCGGCCACAAACCGCCAATGAAAAACTTTTGTAGGTGGGCACCCTAAGAGACCTCCTTGCAAAAATCAATTTTTGCTGGGGCACCCTGAAGTCACTTGCCTGCAAAAATGATTTCTAGCAAAAAAAAATGAAAATCCATATCCAAATACCCTCCAATTTAGATCTAGTTATCCTCCGATTCACAATGCAATTCCACCGTCACAAATTCAAAAAAGATTTGACCAATTCACAATGCGATTCTGCCAAGAACGTTGTCGTCGGTATCCCAATGCTAGAGTCATGCTTTGTAGTGTCTTCTCTTGAGGGCGAAGTCGAAGCAACACACCAGCATCGCGTCGGCAAGGGAGGGGGTGGAGGCCAGCCACGACAGGGAGCACGACGAGGTCGGCTGCCTCGGCAAGGATGGTTGTGATGAGGTGGATGGCTGAGAGCTTCTCGACGCTGGACTATGCCATGTGTGGCCCACTAGAGGTGGGTTTATGCTCTTGAGGTCGCATCGTCGCGATTACCGTTTCCGAGCACTACGAGCCTCCAGTTGAGATCCCTTTGCTGGCTTCGGAACCTCAGTCGCAAGGCCCACTAACTGCGGGTGTGGTCAGCGATGGTGATAGCGGCAAGAAGGGGCGGAGCTAGGTAGGAGAGGGGGGTGCCCAAAAATCCGGTCAAGAAAAGTTTTTAGCTATAATTCATCTATTTTTACCATATGTGCAACCCCCCCCCCCCCCGCTTCAATCCAAACTCAAGCACTCATATCAGCCTAAACATGATCTAAAGTAGAGTAAAGCAAGCGAGTGGCACCCTCTCCATTTTATTCTAGCTCCGCCCTGGCAGCAGTGAGCGGGAGACCGGGAGCGGAGGAGGAAGGTCGATGGTGGCATGGCAGCATGCTGCCTAGGAGAGGGAGGAGATGGTGGGAGGGAGAGAAGTGAGGAGGGCTGAGAAAGCTTAGGGAGGCAAGAAGGAATAAAGGCGCTGGTGGGTGGGAGCAACCGACCCCCGATCTTCTAGGATGCCATGTGTGAAAATTAATTTTCATAGGACCAGCAGTAAAAATATTGCTATTTTTACAAGCCGCCGACCAAAAACTGTCGTCTGTTGCCTAGCTTAATTGGGGACCTCTCTATACATTTTCCTAAGTACAGAAATCATTTTTCCAAATGGTCAAAACCCGGTTTTTGCATGCGGCTGGGCAGCCCGTCTGGACCCAAGTATCTCTGAAAATCAATATTTTTCCATGCGTGCAGCCCAATCTTATGCAAAAATAGAAGTTTCACACACAGTCCATTTTCGCATGCAGTCACCTATACCGACCGCATGCGAAAAAAATTTGGGCGAAACAAATTCAGCCAAAACCCTAGATCCCCTTTCTCTCATGAAACCCTAGACCGCCACCGCTGTTGTCATCGTCGCAGCCGCCACCGCCGCCTAAGCCCGCCGTCGTCGCTCTCTGGGATGGGGGCAGCCGGATTCACGCGTCGGTACCGCCTACCCCCAAGGCCGCCTTTGCCTCCGCCTCCGCTAAGCCTGTCGCTACGGCTAGATTCGACAATGCCCATCCCCTCAGTCGCCGCTGCTCCCTAGGGCAGGGGTGCCGGATCCGTGCACCACTGCTGCTCCCAACAACGGGGGAGCCAGATCCGGCCAACCCCGAGGCTGCCTCCGCCTCCGCTAAGGCTGCGGTCATCGCTCTCAAGGGCGGGAGTGTTGGATCTGCGCACCACCGCCGCTCCTGAGGTGGGGGCGCCGGATCCACGCACTGCCGCCGCTCCCAAGGGCAAGAGAGTTGGATCCGCTTGCCCCCGAGGCCACAGCCGCCGCTCTCGAGGGCAGGGGCGACCGGATCCGCTTGCATGTGAGGCTGCCTCCGCCACCCGCCCGCGAGGCCGCCATGTCGACCTCAGCCATTGAAGGTGGAGTAGAGAAGGGGGAGAGGGAAGGGGAAGAGATGAGGTGGAGTGGGAGAGGAAAGGGAAGAGAAGCGGTTCTGGAGGAGAAGAGAAAAAATGAGTAGTGATGCGTTGGAGATGAAGTAAGGTGCGGAAGAAAAAATAGTACGGGGATGCATGGGGCCCACATGCTATCCAAGTTGCCTGCATGAAAAAAAATATTTTCGCTTGCGGTCTCATCACAGGTCTACTTGCGAAAATTGATTTTTTTTTTTCCATGCGAGATTTTTGAGGAGCCGTAAGCAAAAAATGCAGGTCGATTTTGCAGGCACGACCAAGTACGGTCTGTTTGCAATTTATGGTGACCCTCGTACAGAAAAATCAGTGTTTTTAAGACCGTATGTAAAAATAAATAGGCTACCTAAAAAGTTTTTTTAAGTAGTGTCAGGCAGTTCATCATCCGGTTGGTTACTTTATCCAATGCTGCGGGTCATGCATGCTGCCAATTCTTGCCTTGTTGGCCGTGAGCCATCGTGAGTTCCTGAGATAGCTCCCTCTTTGGCGACTTAATTTGTGGCCGACGATCGATAGACTTTGCGTCAAGCAGCAGCTGCTCAACGCTACAACAGATACATTGAATTGGGTCACTGATTAGTGATTAGCGGTGGCAATAAGCGACCGGGCGGGCAACAAAAGCATGTTATCTAACGGGCCGTGCCCTAGTGGGCCGTGCCGTCAGTGTGCCGTGCCGTGCTGGGCCGGGCCGCCCGTTTGGCCTGCTATATGCGGTACCATCCCAAGTACCTGGCGATACTGACGAATAATAGCCTTTGGATCTGATCCAATCAATGGCTCATATTTGGTACCGTCCTAACCTGTTGGACTGTAAAAAAAACTCAGATAGAGTTTTTGCATGTGATTGGTGGCCCGCCTGCGCCCAAAGTTGTGCGAAAATCGGATTTTCGCATACGACCAGCGCAACCGCATACAGTCACCTATACCAAGTTACCAACCTCATGCGAAAATAATTTAGATAAAAAAAATAAAATTCAAAACCACAAAAGCCCCGAAACTCTAGCCCGCCGCCGGCCCAAACGTAAGGTCGCCGGAGTTCACCATTGCTGTCGTCATCGCCGCAGCAGCTCCCGAGGAGATGCTTGCTCTGTTATAGTACACATGAAGACATGAATGTCTTAATGCACATTGTAAAGCGTGTTACTGACCCATGTATTTCAGAATTAAAATCGAACTTAATATGTTTTGATTTGGGGATTTGTTTTTTAAGATATTTTGGGAAGGACTAAATAAATAAGAAGATGCATGTTTGGCAGGACCACCTAGACAACAGTAGAAAAACATGATTTTTTTTTTTTTGCAATTTGCTTTGTATTACATTAGTTTATTTTAACACCATGGAAACCAGGGCTTTACATGTGAGTATGTAAATTGAATGACGTGTAGACTATGCTTTACGTACGGTTATATATCCCTAGTATGATAGCTGTTTTTTTTTTTTGTTAAGTAGTAGTATATATTAGTGCTGTGCGTAAATCATGGATCGATTAAGTTGAATCTTATATATAGCTCGTATATATCCTATGGCTTGAAGATTAATTAGAACAATCATATCACTAGGTAGGAGTACAAATTAACTGCTTCCTCCGTTTTACAATGTAAGACTTTCTAGCATTGTCCACATTCATTTAGATGTTAATGAATCTAGACATATGTATGTGTTTAGATTCATTAACATCTATATGTATATGGACAGTGCTAGAAAGTCTTACATTGTGAAACGGAGGGAGTAACTACTAACTAGTAGTGTCCTAATTTGCATGTTTTGGCTGGCAGGCTAGGCGGCTACAACCAGACAGATGAACGTCGTCAGATTGCGGCATGGTTCTTATTATGTGAATTGGAATGTCGGGGTCGGGCCGGCCGCTTCCTTCGTGCAGGCCATTACAAGGCTCGCTGTCGAGGCGATCAGCGAGGTATGGGGTCCCTTCGATCCCGTGATCAAGGTGCAGCTGATGAAGCCGCCGCCGCCGGAGGAAGCAGGAGAAATCCATGAAAGCTTCGTCATGAGATTGGACCAGCAGCTGGCCGCCGCGGTGGCAGAGCAGCTCGGCCTGCTCAACAACGACCAAGAATACCGCGAGCGCAAGGAAGCCCACGAGGAGGCGCGCTATTTCTCATGGGGCTCAGTGGAGAGTTACGGAACACGGCCGGATTATGCCGATCTACGGCGTCGGATCAACGCCATACTGTCCAGTAACAAGTACCTGCTGGTGGTTGAGAACCTGTACGAGCCCATGACGCCCTATTATTTCGTATACTCTGTGGGGCTTCCTTTCCCTAATTACTCCTTTACAGACTCTCGATGGCTCATATCCACCGTGTCCCAAAAAGTCTGTGACAAAAGCAAGTCAGCACGTGATCAAGTGTATGGTCCCTTCGATGATGACGACACCATGGTGCTCATCCTCTCCTCACTGCATCAGTCGGCCAAGGACATCTCCAAGGCTGTCGTCGGGCACGACGACGATGAGGAGCACTGGCACCGTGCCGCACTCCGGTGTTTTCACTACGCCCTGCTGCAGCTGCTCATTCCATGTGAACAAGACAACAACAGCAATACTACTAGTCACTGAAGAGCTCATCCGTCAATGGGCTGCCCAAGGCTTCCTTGCAACTACCAGCCGTTGTAAGCCAAGAGCAGTTCAAGCAGCACATATCCGCATCAAGGGGCACCATGCTAGTGATATATATCAAGTTGGGCACGCAATCCTTCAAGCATTCTCAGAGTATTCATTGCTCAAGCTACCCTTTTCTCCAGCAAGTGAAGCTAGTAAGGCCACTGAGACTGCCGCACACTTCTTAATATATCATCATCTCGTTGCATCCCAACTCAGTGAACATGAAATATTTCATGAGGAGGAGGAGGAGGTGGGGTTGAAAAACAGGAGATGGATAAGAATGACCAGCAAACAGCAAGAAATGGAGAATCAAGCATGGCATTTGAGCACGCAATTGCTGGGCAAAGAAGAATCCAATGACCCAACCACATTTATTTTAAGGCACTTCTTGCACACATCCAGCCTGCTTAATCTAATTGACAACATCTTGCCTAAGCTCCCTTGTCTTCGTGTTCTTGACCTCTCTTATACTCAACTAGAATCACTCCCTCCTACAGTTTGGTGTCTCTCTAACCTCATACTGCTTTCTCTCAGAGGTTGTCGTGCCATCAAAAGCCTACACAGTGTCTCCAATAGTGGTGGTTCTCACCCAGAAAATGAAAAACACCGAATGATGAACAACTTGCTTTACCTTGATCTCACCCTTCTCAGCATAAACAATTTTCCCAATGATTTTTTCCAAGGCATGACAAAACTTGAAGAGTTGATGCTTGCCGGGTGCTCTAGCCTTGTGGAGTTGCCTTGTTCCATCTCTGCTTTATCCAGCTTATTGACTCTTGAGGTTACAGGGACTAAACTTACATCACTTCCAAGTTCAATGTTTGCGGGGATGCAAAAACTTCAATCACTTAAGCTCATTGACAACAAATTGTTGAATTCAATTCCAATGTCAATTTTAGAAGCCCACGGTCTTAAAGAACTACATATTCAAGGCTGGCATTCAAGGATGCAAGAGGAGATCAAATTGGATGGGCATCCTACCCTGAATTCATTCTCACTGATCAATGCTCCTCACATAAAGCGCTTGTCCCTACAAGGATGTAGAAAGCTTGAATGTGTGGACTTGAGGGACCTTGGCACATTGGAAGACCTGGACCTGTCAGCTACTGCTATCAAGGAGCTCCCAGCTAACATCCCTAATCTGCCTCAGCTGAGGCGACTAATTCTGATGGGTTTTCCAAACCAGAGCCGATTTCCTTGGCATAAGCTGCAGCGGTTCCCTAATGTGTTTTGCTTGGATCACTATGCAGAAGGACATGACAACCATTATGATAATCAGGTTGCTCGTGTCTACGTCAAAGATTCCAGATTGTTTTACAGCTTTAGTGAGAGCACAAAAGAATTAGTACAAGAAGGAGAGTTCTTACAATCTTTCTATGTTCAAATTGCACCATCCACCGTTAATATTAGGAAGCTAGAGGATGAAGAAGACAAGTTGACCAGCATGCTACAGGAATTAGCACATAAGAGATCTCCTTATGGTGATGTGTACCATCGTTGCATAGCATTGGAATTTTCAGTGATGTACATGGCCAGATCTGCCATTCATCAAACCGCGCGTCATGTGCATATGTCTACAATAGATAAGTATCCTCATGGTTTAAAGTATCTTCTGGAAGTTGCCAAATCAATTTATGTGATAAATGATTCTTTTGTCGACTGCCTTACTAATCTGAGCAACTTGGACGAACTGGAGGAATGCAAGCTTCATTTTTGCCATCGGATGAAGCATGTATTTGAAACAACATATCACATGTGGAGAGATCTACCGAATTCATGGGACTCTCAACACAAAAGTGCATGGGCCTCTCGACTCAAAAGTGCATGGGCCTCTCAACTCAAAAGCCTAATTCATTTCTACATACTTGCATACACAAATTCGGCTATTGAAGCTATCGGATTCACTTCACTAAACCACCTGCACTTGGAACATTGCCCAAGACTGGAGAGCATCATGCCACGCAATTGTGCACTACCAAGACTCACAACTCTTAACATCCTATTCTGCTAAAACATCAGCACAATCTTCTTCAAAGATCATGAAAAGGGAGCAATCAACGTTGAGTTCCCAAGCCTTCAAAGGATGCGCCTCCAGGAGCTGCCACTATTGAAGCACCTCTACGACGGCGACGACATTGTCTTATCTGCACCGACATGGAAGGAGCTCCATGTGCGTGGGTGCTGGAGCCTACAGCATCTCCCACGCCTCAGTCAAGAAGACCTAAACCAGGCGGTGCAGGTGAGCGGAGAGAGGGCATGGTGGGAGAAGCTCATCTGGGACGATGACTCATCACTCACTCACCGTAGCTACTACAACTGCAAGTTTCCCCCGCCATTTGCCTCCTTCAACGAGCGTGCCACAGTGACGAGCTACCTCAGGTGAATCGCATCCAAACTCATCAATCTATTCACCCATATATGGGATCATGACTTGTCAAGTGACTTTTCTCATGACGTCCTCAGCTAGCTAGATCATCAACCATATACTCACCACAGGCTATCACATGTACACCTAGCCTGATTGGCAATATTCCACCATACAACCATTGTAGTACCATATACCTATCACATACCATTATACTGCCGATCAATCCACCACATCTCACAATGTGCATCACCAGTTTCATACATGCATGTGTCAAGAGAAAAGGAAAAAAATGCTTGCCCGTGTTCTAGTACCAATATGAGTTCTTTGCCAGAGTTGCTTTGTTGGTGTGCTTATACACATCATATAAATATGTCTAAATAAAAGTTTAGCTTCCTTGATTATAGCCGACCAGTCTCTCGGTCAGCCATCAATGACAGCTAAACTAGTTTGTTCTGTGTGAAATTAAGTTTTCTTCCTGATATTATTGGAATAATATCAGTATTTCTATGTAACAATATCACTGCTTTAGTGTGTATTGTGTTTGTTGTAACTTGTAAACCATGTAATGTTTGTGTGGAGCATATTAATATATGAACCCATTAGTCAACTAAAAAGAGTTGTGTGTAATGTTAACATGTATGCATGCACATTTGATCGTCGTGCTAAAATTACATATATATGTTTGCATGCTCCGTTTCCTAAGCTTGTATCATTACATATTCAGCTTCTCGTTGTGTAGAGACTATATGAACTATCCAAGTAAGTTGATAAAAAGTTGTAATCACAGCCGCTATGCCAATAATGAATTTTGTAGATCATGCAAGTAGCTATATATATTACCTCAAAGTTGGCAAGGCTTTAGTGTTAAAATAATTCATGGGGTGATGACATGAAGTGAATTCTGACATATTAATCAAAGCCAGGATAGTAGAAACGTTTTCCATACTAGTTATGTGTCTTAATGAATTGAATAGCCCTTTTTTTTCATGTTTTATGCTGAGCTCTGGTTTAAATGTATTTTGTTCCCTTTTTTCAGTCCACATCGATGTTGTGTGCTCCTCAGCTTTTCTTTTAAGAGTACTGGAGATAGATATTCATTTTTGTTGAAATATTTTATAGGTGATACTTCATGTCTTAATATCCACATTCCTTATGTGAATTATATTCTTCGTAATAATCCAAGCACTCTGTTTCTTGTAAAAATAAAGATACATATACAACATGTGTAGTTCAACTCGCACAACTCATTCAGCATCAACGATAGCGTTGAGACAAACATGTCGAAGGAACTCGGAAAAATGAACCCCTGTAACTTTGGGAGATGGGATGCTCTCCTATCTTTTAATTTAGGAAAACACGTGACACGTAATAGGGTTAGCTACTGTTTACTAAAAATAGAGGACTCATGTAAGTCGTAGCATGATATATTCAGTCTGACACCTACGCTAATGCGACAAAAGATAAAACCAGAAAGCTGACATATTTAGCAAAGTAGAGATTTTTTTTCCCACCAAGCTAGAAAATAGCGTTCCCTTGCTAAGGGCCCGTTTAGTTCCCAAAAAGTTTTTCCCAAAAACATCACATCGAATCACATGTATGGAGTATTAAATATAGATAAAAAGAAAAACTAATTGCACAGTTATGGGGGAAAGCACGAGACGAATCTTTTAAGCCTAATTAGTCCATGATTAGCCATAAGTGCTACAGTAACCTACACGTGCTAATGACTGCTTAATTAGTCTCAAAAGATTCGTCTTGCGGTTTCCTGGCGAGTTTTGAAATTAGTTTTTTCATTCGTGTCTGAAAACCCCTTCCGACATCCGGTCAAATGTTCGATGTGACACCCAAAAATTTTCTTTTTCCCAAGCTAAACAGGGCCTAATATTTTCTTCGCTCACCATTTCAAGCATACACTCCCTAGAATACAAAATAGGATACTGGTGTGGTCTACTGCAAAGGGCCGGGGATGGATGACAATGAAAAAGTAGCTGCTAGCAGCAATACTACTGACATGTGGGCATCTCCTAAGTCGTAACAGCAGCAAATAATACTACCTTTGCTATGATATGTAGCCATTGTAGTATCCAATGTCATGTAACGACAAGAGGAGCGAGAACGGAGGACAAACTTACAGAGGCATTTCATCGAGTAGTGCATGGGTGCTACGTAATGTACCTTAAATTATAATCCTTGGTCATTCTCTTCATCCCATCAATAAATCAATCCCAGATGATCATTGATCCGATCAATCCGCAGATGAGCAAGGATGAGAAATCACGGGCAAATAAAGAGATGAGGAATGGATTACATTGTAGGATCGAATCACAAGAACTAATCCAACCAGAGGGGGTGAATGGATGGTATACCCAAAAACCAAAAACTTTTAGCGGAAATAAAAGTAACCCTCGAAATCGATGGATCGCGGTCTGACCGAAGTAGTTGCACCGGTCTAACCGCCTAGAACACGCCGGTCTGACCGAGATCAAACTCCGGTCGAACCGCCGAGATCGCCTGCCGCTGCCTGCCTGCACCGCCGGTCTGACCGTCCTAGCGCCGCCGGTCTGACCGTCGCTTGCCGCCGGTCTGACCGCCGAAACCCGGTGAAACACAAATCGAAGAACTCTCAAAGTAGATGACAACTTTATTGCTTCTCTCTGTGTTTACAAAGTGCACCAACAGCACTCCTAACAAAAATCTCTACTAAACTCGAAACCCTAGCTAAACTAGCAACTCAATTGCTCTCAAAGCAATACAAAAGCGATACCGGGAAGCCTCACGCTCCCCCTCTATTTATACATGAGATAGGCAGCCTAAAGCCACGAACCAAACTCATACTAAGAGTCCTAAACACCTTAGGAAACCCTCTAGTACAAGAAAGAAACTTTACATAACCAATAGCACCAAATTTGGACTCTTTCCAAATTCGACTCCGCATCCCATACGCACACAATACCTCCATCGTATGCCATATGGAATCTCCATCAACCATGTGCGTCAACTCTAGCCTTAGTATCCCGCATGATATCTGACCACCACGGACATCGTCTTACCACCAAGCCGACTCCCGGTCCATCACCGCAAATACGCTCCCGAGGCATCGAGTCACCTACACATGAAACAAACAAAGAAACCATATTCTGAGACCAAGCTATCACAACTTGACTCATTGTTAGCAAACAACAGTATTACATACGTATAGTATCCATCTAGAAGCCATAACCATGAAACAATCACGGATATCCAAAGAAACAACCCGAAACCGAAACCGACACAGCATCGGCCGGTCAGACCGCGGGCCGGCCGGTCTGACCGCTACACATGAGCCGGTCTGACTGGCAACCACCGCCCGGTCTGACCGGTCCCGACAAACCAGTAAACCCTGTTCATCTCCTGAAAAAAAAACCACTTCGACAATAATCTCCAAATATCAAAACCAATAATCATATATGCCAATTGTTCATCACAGAATAAGAATCAAAACACACGTTGATCTTACAATCTCCCCCTTGATGAACACATTGGCAAACCCATTAAAAATGTTTTGGTCTTTGGAAAAATAAAATCAAAAGCGGTAAAAAACACACTTCGTACAAACGTACACATCATGCTCGAAAATCCAAAAGAAAATTTCTCCCCCTTTTTAAAAGAAAGAAATTCCCAATTGAACCAAAAGAAAACTTCTCCCCTTTTGAAAAGAAAGAAATTCCCAATTTAATCAAAAATATGCTCTTCTCCCAAAACTCATCTCTTCTCCCCCTTTTGACAATGATTTCATCAAGCATAGGAATTATGTTCATTAATGTATAAGAGCTTAACATACATATAGCATATCATGTCATGTGTTGCAATAAAAAGAAGATGAACCCATCTATAACATAACAAGCATGCATTAAAGTATAACCATGAACCAAAGATTTTACAATTAAGCTTGAATCAACAATCAAAATTCATGATTTCATACGATTTATAATGCAACATCTTAACCAGCACATAGGTTGAAGAATAAACACTAAACACATATAACTATTGCATTTATCACTCTTTCTCAAATAACCTTTTGCACAAAACAACAAAGAGAATTTGATTTTTTTTTCTTTTTCTTGAGCCTTTTTGCTCATATATTTCTCTTTATTCCGGGTACGTTCCTGTCGTCAAGAATGTTTCCAAGGATTCGGCACCCATTATTTTGCTCACATCGAATACGTCATTGTCGTCAAGACTGTTTCCAAGGATTCGGTATTCATTTTTTTATGTTTTTATTCTCTTTTCACAATGAGCAATTAAAGCTATTTGAGGAATAACAAGTCAATAAAGCATATATATAAAGCATTTAAAAATCAAACCACATGCTAGCTTCAACATTGCATATTTTCTTAATTCAAGTATAGAATTTAAGTGTCATGCATCATCTCCCTTAAAAGCAAAATCTAAGTCTCATGAAAAGACTAGAATACATACAAGCTATGCTAGAGACAAATAAACCTTCAAAGTATTGCTAGCATGCACAAGAAAATACCATATGTATAGAACAAAGCTCTCTTTTATTAATTTTTTCATTTTCATATTTTTGCTTGATAAAACCATGAGGTACAAACTCCCCCTCAAATCATGCCAAAAGGAATTCATAAAAAGCACTAACTCCCCCTCAAAATAACCTCCAATTCTCCCCGAAAAAAAATTAAGAAGAAATCAAAGATTTTGAAAAAGACATCCAATTGCCAACGATATCACCAAAATTCTCAAGAATTGACATACATCCAACAGTATTAACCAAAACTACAACCTCAAATACTAGCATATGAAAAAGCTAATAAACAAGAGAGTAGACCAAAATTATGTCAATCCAAAAGTAAAGTGATGTTACCTTGCTATACAATCGTCATCTCAACGTTAAACGCACATGGGGAGTATGCCACCAAAATACCTACGAACGAGAAGATGTCGAAGACTCCGTGTTGGGGTTAAAAATAAGAAATTTTGGAATCCAACACTGAGTCACACGACCACTAGAACCAGTAGGTACATACACACTTACAAAATCAGAATCAGACTTACCAGAAAACTTACCTTTTTGCTTCACAAAAGTCCGATTTGAATTTCGCGCAAAATCAACCCGAGACCGGTCTGACCGCCGCTGTGCCTACGGTCTGACCAGGCCTGGCAACCGGTCTGACCGCTGGCCAATCTGACCAACTGGTCAGTGTCGGTCTAACCGTGGTCCTCGAATTAAAACCCGATTTTTGCCAACGTCGTTTTGCAAAAGCAATTTCTCTTTCCTTTTTCTGTTTATGGGCAAGTCTAAAACAAAAACCAACCAAATGTCCATTTTTTCCACAAAAAGAACAAGTGTACTTTTCACGACAAGTTTGTGAAGTAGATGGTTTTGAAATTAATGGTTTTTCAACAAAAGAAGGTTTTGCATTCACAACATTTGATTTCGAAGAAGATGCATTCAAAGAAGA